CCCCCCAGCCTCCACTCCCAACCCCATCTCTTGCTTCCCAAAGCTGCAGCTGGATCTCACGTGCTCAGCAAGAAGCCGCTTCCCAAGCCTGCTTGCAGACCCACAGTTTGCTGGAGGGTGCTTGGAGCAAGCTCATCTCCACTTTTAAAGGCGACGGCTGCCTGCTCATCTGCCTGCTTTTCCAGAAGGACAGAAACCGGCAGCCCATCTTAACTGCCCCCGTTATCATGTGCGACTGCCGAGCTGCGCTGCCGCTCTTGCGCTCCTCTCGTGCACCCGTACATTTAAATCCCCTGCCACGGCGTGCGTATTCCCGCATGTGGGTGCAGGAGGGCACGGGATAACACAAGCCACAGCCACAAACGTGTGCACACACATCACCGGCCGTGTCTCCCGCATGCGTTAACGCATGAACCTCAAAGCCGCGACCGTAAATCCACGCACGCGGCGTTTAATGGCAACGCACGACCGTGCATAGGCACAGGAGCACGGCGTGGGAATGCAGCTCGCCCTGGGAGCGGATCCATCACCTGCAACGCCCCCAGGGTACCACGGCACAGCCAGGGCATCCCTGCCTGTGCCTGGAGCATCACCGGCACACCCACACCCGGAGAGCAGCTCCCACCCCCGGGTGTTCACCTCTCTAAGTGTTTCCCAGCCATCAACAGGGAAACTTTAGGGCAGGGTTCACCCCCATGCAGGGCTCTACGCATCATGCACAACGTGCATCCTCTTCGTTTTGGTTCAAAGCCCCTTTTCCCCTTGAAGGGAGTTTTGTTTAAATCAAAGCAGGGTTGCAACATCACCCCCCTTTCCTCCCCTCCTCCCCCCCACCCCCCCATCCCTTTGCACCTTCCCCCAGGCTGGGGCGATGGGGGTCTCAGAATTACCTGTGCCGAGGGGGTGAGACATCCTCCAGGCGAGCCCCTGCGAGCGCCGGGCAGGCGAGAAAGCAAAGAGCCACCCCCGGAGCATCCTTCTCCCCTCCCCGCCTCGCCGGTCCCTCCTACCGCCCTCCCCTCGCCTCCCCCGGGCAGGGACCCAGATGCTCCCCGGCTCCTTCTGAGCCCAAGGGAGGAGCAAAGACCGGGGAGGGAAGGGGGGGAGGGTGTCAGGCTGGGTCCTGCACCCAGCCCAGCCCTGCAAAGGTGGGTGGGTGGGGGTGGGGGAGCATTCCAGGACCTCGAGGGAAAGGCTGGAAGTTGAGAAGATGCCTTTGAACGCGGTCCTGCAGTGCAGCGAAGCAGGAGGAGCAGCCTGAAACCCAGCAAGCAGGGTACAGAACAGGGGGACAGGGAAAGGGTGTTTCCAGAGCACCCTTCCCCATTATTTTTTTTCATTTTATTTTACAGAAGAGGTTTTTTTTCCCTGCTCCATGCATTTTTCCACCACCCCCACCCCCCTGCTTGCAGGAGGTCCCATATTCAGTCAGCCCTGCACTAAAGAGCAGCAAACACCCAGGGAGAGGCAGATCCCTAAAGACAAGCCTTTCCTTTATCCTAGTAAAATCAAAATAGAGAGAATAAACCAACTGAGATCCACATCCATCTCCCTCTCTGCCAAATGTTTCACGGGCGTTTTGGTGCGGGGATGCTTCAACCCGGGGCGTCAGGCAGCTGCTCCTCCATCCTCCCGGGACAAAAGCAGCAGAGCAGAGTCAGCTCCTGCGTTTGGTTGCTCCTCAAGGCCATTCCCCCGGGAGCTCAGCCCGTCTGCTGCCTCCTCGAGCCAGGGGAATGGACAGCGTGGGGCTTCTCCCCTTGCACAGGCCCCATCCTGCACCCCTGGGGGTGATGGGTGTCCAGCCAGGCAGGCGGCCTCAGAGCTGTTTGCTGGCTCGGAAAGGGTTTCCCAGCTCGGAAAAATGTTTCCTTCTGGCCTGCCCCCATGCTGGGTGCTTTGAGAGGGAGATGGGCACCTCTATCTTTCTTCACGGAAAGGGCTGTCAGGCTCTGGAATGGGCTGCCCAGGGAGGTGGTGGAGTCCCCATCCCTGGAGGTATTTAAAACAAGGATGGATGAGGTGCTGAGGGACAGGGTTTAGTGGTGGGATGGCAGGGGTAGGTTAAAGGTTGGACTTGATGATCTTAAAGGTTTCTTCCAAGCTAAACGATCCCTGGTGCCACCAGCTCCCTCGTCCACCCCAGGGCTGTGCAAACACCTGGGGACAGGGTAGAGGGACGATTACACAAAAAAATATCTTTAAATCTCTGAGCTGCAGAGCACCGCATTACCTCAGGTCAAAGCCAGCACCAACCCCCAGTGATTCTGGGGGCAGATGTTCCCTGCAAAAGTACATCTGGAAGGAAAGCTCTGGCGAGCTAAACCAGGGCTGTTAAGGCTGTACTTAACACTAGGGTTCCTCCTTCGCTGCTGAAGCATCGCAGCGTGCGTGGGAGGCTGGCTAAAATAGCTTCCTCGCCAGGGCAGGGTGTGCTGAAGCTCTGGATTTCTTGCTTTTTGCATTGCCTGTGGGGGTTTTTTTTGCAGCCCCTTTAGGAGCGATGAGAAGCCAAGGAGGGATGGGGCTGATACACAAACACAACCTGCAAAGCCCAGTCCCAGCCTGACCCAGAGAGCATGGGCTGCTTCAGTGGCCAGTCTGAATATTTAGTCCAATATGCAGTGGAAAAACACACCCTGTATTTCCAAAGAGAAAGGGGGATCTATAGAACTCCCCGCTGCAGGACCAAAGGATTCCGTAACCTCAAAATCCAAACAAATTCACCCAAAACCATCCCCTAAGGAGCAGCTGATACACGCCACGGCAGTCTATCGCCAGCGGGAAGGTTTGGGGAAACCCATCGGCGGGGGAGCCACAAACTCCTGCCCTGCTTCCCACCCCTGGGACCGGGGTTTGGCAGGGAGGATTTGGGGTGGGGGATGGGCAGGAGGGGTTCTTCCAGCTTCCCTGGAGGTTGCCTTTGGGAGAGCAGCGCAGCAAGCGGCTCCTGTGCATTAAGCAAGGGGAGACACGGAAGGATTTTTTTTTTTTCCTCGCAATGCACAGTGGGCAAGCTGATGTCCTGGTGGAGGAAGGAAGGAGAGAAGGTGCTTAGGAAGGTGATGAACTCCATGGTCCCTTTGCTCTGGCCAACCCCTTACCCTAATGCAGAGCCCCAGAATCCTGCGATAGCTTCAGGGAGCCGAATTAACCTCCCTCCCTCCCACCCCAGCACCATTTCTGTAGGACACAACCTATGTCTTCCCCCTCCTGAAACCCCTGCAGGTCTGGGGACTCCAGAGGAGGGTGTTCCACTCCCCTTTCTAGGGGGAACAAGATGCTCTGATAATTTGGGGAGCAGCAAAATCCCTGGAAAACCAAGGGCAGTGAGCCAGCGGCCACCTCATGGGACACACACTGAGAGGCTGGAGGGCACGTTCGTTCCATTGGCCAGTTTTGGGGAGGACAGAAGGGAAAATGCCATATTTTTATTTTTTTTTTTGTGAAGGAAGGCTGAAAAATAAGAATAATTCTTATTCTCCCTAAAACTCCTAGTGCAGCATTTCTCCAGCTGGAGGTCACAACGACCTTGTTAAGGCACTTTCTCCTGGGGCACACTGGGAAGCGCTAATTGCATTTAATGGCAATTAGGGGAGGAAATGGCCAGCACTCCTTAGCTTAGCTGCTAACCATAGCGTGTTCTCTTTGGCTGAGAAGAAAGCACAGATTTGGAGGAGCAGAGATGTGGCTGGAGCAAGATAGATGAACCCCAAAGAAAATTGACCTTGCACAATAAAGCTGAGAAGTTGAAGGCCCCGAAGAACCAAAGTTTTCCCCCTCCACCTTCAGGCAGACAAGAGATGAACAAAGTCCTCCCACTGCATCATGGAGGAAGAGCCCAGATACGTTCTTCCATCTTCATGTAAAAATTACCATTGAAGTGGCTATTTTATTAACTATTAATTGTTACTATTACTCCCTATTAACTCTAATGGCAAGGTAATAGGCACAGTTATCAACATGCAAATTCTGAGAAATCTCATTAACTCCAAGGACCTCAATCTCTCATTGTTTTCAGCACGAGCATCCCAAAGCAATCTTCCCTCTGTCACAAGTGTTGACATTTCTCCCTCCAAGCAGGCAAAGACTGCCCAGATGGATAAAAATTAATCACATGAGGTTATCAGCTTTCAAGGAGCATCGCTAAGGTCTGCTCTTGCCCCCAGAGAAGTTCCCAATCAACTGGGATGAGGTATCCAAACCCTCTTTGGTTTGGAAACAGAAGAGCTTAACCCATTTGCACAGCAGGGTAGCCAAATATTCATTCCAGGCTGGGTTGGACAGGGCTGTGAGCAACCTGATCTGGTTAAAGGTGTCCCTGCTCCCTGCAGGGGGGTTGGGCTGGGTGACCTCTAAGGATCTCTTCCAACCCAAAACATTCTAGGATTCTATGAAATAGCCTGAACATGTGCAGATACCGTGATGCTTCTCTAGTGGCTGTGGTCAGGAACAATGATGCCTGAGGCATTTCAAGGACCCCAAATGCTCAGGGCATCACCTCCTCTCCACAAACACATGTTCTGCTTTCCCTCCAAGGCTTCCCGCCCCCAAAGACAGCCCCATGTCCTCCTGGTGAGTACTGAAGCCCAGCTTCCTGGAGGTGTTCACCCAGCAAACACTATCTCAGCGTGGAGGGAACATGGTACCCAAGAGACGGTTGGGTCTTCCAGCCATGGACCCTTCGCGCCCAGCTCCTCAGTGCCTGCTGGAACAGGGCTGGAAGGGGTCTG